ATCTTTTTATCAGAGTTGGAAGAATTTTCCATTTGTCTGAGAATAGAGAATAGATATTTCAGTGTTTGCTGCATTGTGCCTTGGACCATCTTAATCTTGAACCAATTGTTTGTTATGTGCACTTTGAGTGACTTTTGAAATATTTCCTCCATTTCACTTATCACTTTCAGAGGAAGAGAGTGCTTTTCAGAGCAAGCCACTGAGGGCCTGAGGCACCGTGTTTGAATATTTTGGAGACAACACAAGGAACCATAGAGATTTATCATACAGAAGGCCATTTGCCCATCGTGTCTGTGCTGCCTCCTTCAAGCGATACACCTGGGATCAATTCCAGGCAGAGGGCGAAACCTTGGGCAAGTTTCCTTACTCCACACAGAGCCTAATAATAATCCCTCCAAAACAAAACAATAATAAATTGGTTATTTTCAATCTACGAATGTTTGTGGGACACTGCTGTGCGCAATTGGCTGCCGCGTTCGCCCACAAATATACAGTCAATTCACTTTACAGTATATTCTGTGAAGCACTTTGGGACGTCTAGAAGACGTGAAAAGCGCTATATCAAATGCAAAGATTATTATTATTAAGTGCAATCCCAAAGAGTTGTATTTACAGGAATGGTAGTTAGAGATGGTGCCTGGTTTATTGAATTTCGGAGGAGTCATTACTTTACCATATTGAGTAATCGAAGAGTTACTAGCAAGTTTAATTTACCCAAAACAAGGTCAACTGACAAGTTTCCTTGAGAAAAATGTTCTTTCAAACACCAGCCATACCTTGATGTGCATGCCCTTGATGGCAGCAAACTCCAGGAGAGCCTTGAACAATTCTTCACTGTTCTAGTTTGTGGCACTGAGCCATTCCAACCAATCAGAATTCAGTCTCTGTGAGAAAGATCAGCTCCGATTACATTCTGCCATCTAAGCTGTAACACAACCACGAGTTGGAAAAGCTTCAATTGATCTCATGATGCCAGAGTCTGTTGAAAGACTCAACAGGAGCAAAGCTGAATGAGGTGGTTGGGATTTTAAACTCCTTGGCATTTTTATTATGTCTTGTAAATATTTAGAAAGAACCCTGTCAATTTAAAATTAACTGGTGCAGGAGAGGACACAAGCTGCAGAGTTCTGAATGGTTTGTAGTTTGTGGAGGGAAGAGTTTGGAAGTTTGGTGAGCAGAGTTGGCGCAGTCAAGCTTGGAATGTGATAGAAGCATGGATAAGGGTCTCGGTGGCCCGAGGAGAGAGGTAGTGGTGGAGGCAGGCAATGTTGCAGAGGTCATTCATAACTCTGCAGCTCGTGTACTATCCCGCACCAGGCTTTGCGACCACATCACTCCCACCCTCGCTCGCCTCCACTGGCTCCCCATCCCCCAGAGGATTGAATTCCAGATCCTCATCCTCATCTACAAGGCCATTCACGGCCTTGCTCCGTCCTACCTCTCCGACCTACTATCCCCCTACTTACCTGCCCGTACCCTCCGTTCCTCTGGCTCCGGTCTGCTCCACATTCCCCCGCCCTAACGGCCCTACCATCGGTGGCTGAGTCTTCAGCCTCTCAGCCCCGAGGCTCTGGAACTCCATCCCCCAGTGCCTTCGCCGCTTCCTCCCTTTCCTCCTTCAAGGCTGATCTCAAGACCTTTTTAACTTCAACCGTGCCTTCAGCTTCCCTCTCGACTCTCTACCTCCTTCTCGCTCCCTCCCCTCACGCTGACCATTTCCCCCCTGCTTGGGTCCCAACCCAACTGTCCTCCCGACGTGAAAGGCGCACTATAAATGAAATCTTGTTGTTGTGGGGAAAAAGCTGAACAGGTCAAAGCACAGATGTGGGATTTAAAGGACAGATGAGTTGAACATGTATATTGATGCCTGAGAAGACATTGACAGGAGCCAAGCAGGAGCTGGTTCTCGTCCAGGTCTTAATATCTGACAAGGTGGAGGCAGAGAGATGAAGTTGTGTGTCATCCGCATACATGTGGAAGTTAACTCCATGCGTAGATAACATTGCCGAACAGGAGCATGTACATTTTACAGATGAGAGGACTGAGGACAGAGCTCCGAGAAATGCTACACGTATCGGTGCGGGGCAGGAGGTGAAGCAGTGAGCAGATATAAACTGGAGATGTTGAGTTAGGTAACAATGGAAAAAGGGTAAGGACAGAACGGTGATGGTGCTGGGTGAAATACCGTGGAATAGAATTGAATTGTCAACAGTGTCGAAGGCAGCAGACAGAGCCCCGGTGGAGAGATATCATTTGTGACTTTGACAAGGGAAGTCTTGGTGATTTGGGCAGTGTGGAAGACAGATTGGAGGGAGTCCTGCAGTAGATCTAATCTAGTTTAGGAGGAACTTCTTCAAGCAGAAAGTGATGAGAATGTAGAACTCATTGCCAGAAGCTGTGGTTGAAATAAAAAGCATCAATTTATAAGAGAAAACCTGATGCATATGTGAGGGATAAAGGAATTCAGGGGTACAGGAGAAAGGAAAGGTGGAGGAGGCTCATTGAGTATAAATACCAATGAGGATTAGTTGTGTCCATGTTCTATGTAACTCATCCACAACTCTGTTGGATTCATGCTAAGTATTGATGAGCTGGGCCAACAGAAAAGTATGGCCGCACTTCTGTGGAACCTGCTACGAACGCCCTCCTCCACTGCTACACACCTGTATACGCAGTGCGCCTCTGTGCACTATTTTCTCGATGCTGCTATTGTGAATGAGGTGGCTCCGGTCGCTGTGCTTGTATTTGAATTAGTTGAATACTAATATTGTGCATGAAGCTTACTTGTGTTTAAAGTATTGTTAAAAAACAATACTCTAAAACTTCAATCTTGCTGGGAATGTGGCTGAGCCGGTTGCAGACTGTCACCTACCTTGGGACAGATCAGCCGGGTTTATGCAGAACAAGGAAGAGGTTTATTCTAAACCTAGAGAATACTGGAAACACACAACATATCAATCATCTAAAGGGGAAGTTAGGTTAATGTTTTGGAGTGAGATTTGAGAACTGGACCGGGTGGGCTGGGCTTTATTAGAGCTGGCGGCACTGTTTGATAAAATAACAAAATTGGGGTAGTAATAGATATTCCATGCAGGTCAATCAACAACGAATCTATTGTGCAGTTTGAGGCATTAGCCTGCAGAGAACAGATATATTACTGAAAGGCTCCACACGGCTGAGGAAATGATGTGCAATATTTTAACTGAGGTCATTAGTATTTCAGGAATATGTAACGCCTTGCTCTGAAAGTCATGCTGTTGCCTGATGTTCGGATCACGGGTTTAGATTATTGGCACCCTGGCTGAGATGTTACAATCTGTTTCACACAAATTCTTTTGCATTTAATCTTGCTTCTACGCTGTGGCTAAAACAGATTTAAGATTAAGAGTTTAGGCAGTAAATCGTTACACAACTTCCTAGCAACATAGTTGTGTGGGGTGCTCCGGCCTGCTCCATGTTCCCTGCTCGGCCCACCATCGGTGATCGGGCCTTTTAGCCTCTTTGCAACTGCCCTCTTCGACCACGCCTTCGGTCACTCTTCTACCCCCACCTCCCCTGCCCTCCACACCTACTGATCCCAACCCCCAGCTCGGGGTTTGTCTGGGACATCATACTGTCGTGAAAGGCGCTATACAAATTTAAGTTGTTGTTGATACAAATTTAGATGCCAAATTATTAACTAGCTGATAGGATTGAATGAGTCTGGTCAGTTATGCTCATTCAAGTTTCTATTTAATTCGTGCATCTATTGTTAAATTGGAATTTTCTTAACACTTATTGATGTCTTATGCTATTATTATTACACGCATTACTACTTATGATTTTGAAACGTTTTCCACCGTCTCTGTTGTGCTCTTGTGTACAAATAAACAGACTGGACTTGAGGTAGCCATTGTTTGCAGCTTAGTGCTATTGTACTTAGATTTGCTTCTGTGTGTGATGCATGTTGTGCAGACAGCAGGGATTGAAGTCAATCCAATTTAAAACCCTTGGCTGGATACGCAATGGGACACATGACCAGAGCATTTGCCTCCCATCATGATGCTCTGTGGAAATAGGTTGCCATACTTAAATATGGGTGGAGAAAATGCATTCAATTATAGGATATGGATGTATCCTATTTTCTATGAAGTAAGGATCTAACTATAACTAACCGATTATTTTTAAATGGGCTATTACCATAGGCTTCCTATTTCCACTCACATCACTAAGGCTTAGGGGAAGCTCCGTTTGCTCCACTAAACATACCAAATGTCAACTCTTACCATAGAAATTTACAACCCAGTTGTAAATTTGTATGTTATGTTGGTTCACCAATACTAAGTTTATTGTAAAAGTGAACTGACTGTAGAATTTGTGGGTGAAACGCAGCAGCCAATTGCGCACAGCAGCGGGATTGAGTGAGCAAATTATTATTACTTAATAAACCAGCCACTGATTAGTTAAGGTGATGCACAAGAAGGGTTCACACACTGGTTTGGTTCCTGCCCTAGAATGTGAATTCTGTTTCCGGTACAGGCTGCTGCAGGAATAAAGAAATGTTCCTCTCAGACTGACGTACTCTAGTTGGACCAAATGGCCTTTTCCTTCCAAACCATTCTGTGTGCCTGCTTTGTTATCTTACACTTCTGCTTTTGAACGTGGATGTTTTCCCTGACATGCCTTCTTGCCTGTAGATGGCATTGGTATTGCAGTCCCTTCCTTCTACCCCCCAAAAAAAACTTTGCAAAGCCAAGCCCAAATGAACTGGATTTCCTTGAGTAGAAGTTACGCATGGTACCTTGAATGGGTGGTGAGGTGGCATGGATGATGAGTTGAGAAATGTTATAACTAGGATATTTTTGTACATTTGCAATGTGCCTGTTTAGCAAACATATTGCTGTGCGCGGGTGTGTTTAGTATCTCGTGTTCACAGAATGAAGCTGTCCCACCACGCGTGAATCCTTATGAGATGCAGAAATATTTATTAGCTGATAGAAGGTATTCTCTTTCTCTTCCAGATTCTTCCAGCAAGAAACGAGGCTTAGCTGAGGTGAGCAATGATCAATAAAAGTAACACTTTGTGCAGATACAGTGAAAGATGAAGTATCTTGAATATTTCACTCTTTTTAAGATGCCTTCTTCATCGGGAGTTATAAGTACGCCGACAGGCAAAAGGATTGGGCATAGGGGAGTGGATGCTTCTGGGGAAACTACTTACAAAAAGGTAATTACGGTCTTGGCTTCATTTATTCACTTGAATACATTTGAAAACCGTAAAGTATAAACAATAGCTGATTTTGACTTCAAGTGCTTTATTTTCTCAGCACTGTAAAATGCAGCAGTTTTGGGAGCAATGTTGGGAATTGATTAAATGGTACAAATTATAAGGAACTGCATGCAACCTTGTAAAATCTATATCTTATGATTTGAAAGATCTGTTAGTTCTTCTGCTATCTCACTATTTTTGAGGGTTATGTGGATTGGATGATTAAATACGCTAGTGTGTTTTTGAGGCTAGGGTGTACTTAGCGAGTGGTTTCCCTTTGTATGATCTGAAAGGGTCAGCTTTTATGACTAATTGTACCTCAAGTGGGTTTTAACTCAAGACTGACCAGGACAACAAGGCTGACCATGAGCCACTTTAAAGCTTTCATTTTTGCTTTGTTGATTGACCAGCAAGCCACTGTAAAGCTTTCTTTTTTCCTCACTTGTTCAATTGCAAACTGATCTATCGATCGAGGTGCTGGAGTGCCTTGCTCTGCTTGGATTCTTAAACCAATAATCAGCGTTGTACATTGAGCAGTAAAATTGCCAAGCCAATTTTGAATTTTTACAATGTAACTGTGGTGCTGAGTAACAGCGAATGGTAAACCCTTGAGGCTTTAAAACTGAAGTCTTATCAGTCATTTTTGTTGACTGCTTTGATAAGTCAGTTCAACCTTTTAATATTCTCTCCATTTGCTGCAGTTAAGCATTTTAACTGTACAAAATGCCTGATGTAAAACTGCTCCAACTGTTGCTGAGAGGTCAGGTTGGGACAGGCAGTCTGCTCAGCGTGGCTTTCTGAATGCTACACACATTCCTTAATCCAAATAAGTACCTTGGATCAAGGTCACCAAATGGCTGGTTATGACTCTGCCTTCAAAGAATGGAATTCAAGAATAAAACTATTCCAGCAAAAATATATTTCATACAGTCAAAAATATATTTCATACATTGTGAGTTTGCAAACCTTCTGTAGCTGGTTGAGTTGTGCTGAGAGAATTACAGCGATTGTAATTGGTGTGATTGAATGGCGGGGCACCATGATTGAATGGCGGGGCACCATGATTGAATGGCGGGGCACCATGATTGAATGGCGGGGCACCATGATTGAATGGCGGGGCACCATGATTGAGTGGCGGGGCACCATGATTGAATGGCCGAATAGCCTACTCCTCCTACATGTTATGTTACAGTCATGCAGCATGGATGATGAAGCTGAACTAATGAACTACAGGTGACTATTGTAAATGGTTTGTTTTTAAGGCAGAATTCTTGCCAAGCACTGACGATGTTAACCCTACGTTAGCATGTTTGAACGTCTAGACAAACATCATTTTACCAAGATTGAAAAACTAAGATTCATCCTGTAATTTTTTTTTTGGTCAGCCGGATATCTGACACATGCATTAACCCATCACCATACTTAAGAGTATCCAAACCAAACTGAGAGTTCCAGGCATCCCACCACACATGGAAATTCCAGAAATATCTTTTGCGATGGAACACAAACTGTCTCCCTGGAGGGACATAGCCTGATTACCTAATTCCAGAGAGTATTAGTCGCAGGTTGGCAAGAGCCAAGGCTTGGGGACCCCAGAGTGTGGGTTGGAGTAACTGCTGGAATCTAACCAGTTAAAACCGCATAGCTTGCCATTGAGAGCAGAGCCTGGCAAACTTTCCCGATGCTTGTCCAGCTAGGACGACCCTACCGGTTAGGACTTTGGCTTGCAGGGTTAATAGGAGGTGGGTGGTAGAATCCCTACCCTCAGTGTCTGGTCTGCCCTTCCAAGTCCTGCCAATGAGTCAGCCTGGTTGTGCTGTCGTCAGCAGTGCCTTGGATTGTTGGGGACCCGCCTGACTTGAGAACCAGACCACCTCAGAGGGTTGACTCAATTCTGACATTCCGTTGCCAAACATGTCACCTTGGAGCCAGTTCAGCCCCAAGGAGACCCCACCTACCTCCCCCCGAAGGATCTGACATCCAAAATCGTGGGTTTGAGCCCTCACTAGGTGGATGGCACTAGATTTAAACTGTGCTTCAGAATGCACAGTAAATATTCTGCTGTCCTGTCTAATATAGCTGAAAATGTTCATATAATCCTATGTGTTGCAGACGACATCTTCGACTCTTAAAGGAGCTATTCAGCTGGGCATTGGATATACAGTGGGAAACCTCAGCTCCAAGCCGGAAAGAGATGTGTTGATGCAGGACTTCTACGTGGTTGAAAGCATATTCTTTCCCGGGCAAGTCTGCTAAATATGGTCATCTTTCTACAATGATGATTTTCATACAGACAGAATTGAGGAGCTGAGTTCTCCTCCACACTCTTCAATTGTTTGTTATGAGTAGGGATGTCATGGTGGTAAAAATGTCATAGACGCTGTGATTTTTCTGTTTCTTTGTGTCCATGATTTTAATAAAGTGCATTGAAAAATGGGGGGAAGCAATAATTGACCGGGGAAAGCGATCAATTGGGAAATGCAATGCTTTCCACACTGGTAGGGCAGACTGGGGGCGGGGACAGACTGGCACACATTTCATTAAATGGCATCGCTTGTTTTTCTCAATCCCAAAGCTGTCAATCATGCCAGAGACTGCTGTTGGCACGTGTGGGAAAGCATTACACTGTCAGTCAGTTGAATTGGTTGTCAGTCATTACTCCCTCCCAGCTTCCTGTGTGTGACTTTACACAATATTTCGCCCTAAATCCATGACTCTTTCTAAATTTACCGTGACTGCTCCATGACTTTTGATTGAAAAATAAGCTGTGACAAATCTGCAGCGCTCGTCACGAGTTACCAAATAATTTCTCCCGTATCCCTCTCGTATAACAACAATAACAACTTGCATTTCTATAGTGCCCTTTTCATGTAGTAGTGTCCTGGAGAAATTAAATAGCAGCTGGAGATAGACAGCAGTGAAGGCAAAACACAATTGGGATCGTCAAGCATTTCCTTTAGTGAAGCATTGAGAGCAGAGTGGTGCTGGGAAGGGAAAAAAAGAGAATCTAGCATGAAGGAAAAATCCAACTGAGCAAATATAATCTAATGGGGGTCAACCTTGTCCACTTGGAGTTGGATGTCATGGTTACATTGCAAGTGGTGTAGGTCCAAATGATCCATTACTTTCAGACTGGGTGCAACTTACCATTATTGTGTCTTTGGAAGGTATGAATATATAAAAAGGATATCACAGCGATTGAGAGGATACAGAGGAGGGCAACCAATATGATTGAGCGGCTGGAAGGACTGAACTATGAGGATTAGATATGATTGGAGCGATTAGATACACTGGAGAAGAGAAGGCTGAGAGGCGATATGATTGCAGTCTTCAAGATTCTGAAGGGATTTTTAATGTGGACGATGATCAGCTGTTTTATCTCTTTACCGAGCAGTAGACCTAGAGGCTATGACCTGCGATTGAAGGGGGTAAATTGAGAACAAATCTGTGGAGACACTAGTGACTGAGTAGTAAATTGTGGAACAGTCTCCCTAAGGAGACAGTGGAAGCAGAATTCGTCATTTGTTTCAAGAACAAGTTAGATAGATTTCTTCTAAAAAAAAATCTCAGGATAGTATATAGTTTGGGACATGACTTGTCAAGCTTCTGCCAGGATCCTGGTGGAAGGTGAACTAGATGGACCTTGGTCTTCGTTCGCTAGCAAATTCTTATGAACTGGAGTTATACCTTTTGATCTGGAGTTACGTATCTTGGCAATCAAATGCAAGGATTATTGTCAACCTCTGTGCTAGCTTGCAGAGGAGGGTTTTGATAATTTTTTCAGTTCATCCCTGAACTGTGCTAGAAGTAGAGATTGTATTCAACTTCGCGCAAGAGAATCCGTGCTGTAAATGTACTGCAGTTCGCTTGGGCTAAAATGTTTTATTTTCATTTACAGTGAAGGTAGTAACCTGACTCCAGCACATCACTATCCAGATTTCCGATTCAAGACCTATGCACCGGTGGCATTCCGGTACTTTCGAGAGCTCTTTGGCATTCGACCAGATGACTATTTGGTGAGTGTGGATGTTTAATAGGAGCACATCCCCCACAGCAACTTTTCAACTTAAAAGGGTGGTTTAAATCATTTCACTCCAGTATACAGTAGTACAGCAACCTTGTTTATTCTCTTTTTTTCAAGCTCGGTTTCAGAAATTAGGATTCATACAGTCCATTCAAATGGTACATTATTCCCAATTCTTTCCTCTTTCCCCTCACCCGCTGGTGCTGAATCAGTTCTATATTGTGTGTTGCCTTATTAAATGTGGTAAAAAGAAATGCATATAGTACTGACTGACTGTATCCTGCACTTGCCATCTCAGTGGTTTGAAAGGAATTTATTTTTCTGTTTGTGACTGAAAATGGACAGAGATTAAAAGCTGCCTTTGTGTTGGTTGCTCCTTGGAACACTTGAATCTGAGTTTTAACTCACTGCTAGTCACTGCAAGTGTGTGTATGAAGTGTGTGTAATAAGATACTACTGAGCATTATGAATATTGATTAGAAAGGACCCGGGTTCGATTCCTGGGCAGGACTAAACCTTAGACAAGTTTCCTGACTCCACACACCTCTGTTTACAAAGAGGTAAGAAGGAACCCGGTTGTTAGTCGATTGGCAGATTGCTTTCCGCGCTAATAATTCCTTCAAAAAAAATAATACTTTGTTCACTCAATGCACGATTATTTGTAGGACACTGCTGCGCACAATTGTTTGCCGTGTTTTAGTCACAAAATATAAAGTCAATTTACTTAATGAAGGGCTTTGAGGCTTTTCAACGACATAATAACAAGCCATAATAAATGCAAGGATGTCTTATTATCATTGTTATTAAAACTGGGATTGCGTATCCATAACCGTTTAAGATGCACTGACGTTCAGAGGTTCATTACTGTGATGCTTGCAATTTCTGGAAGGAAATTATTTGTCACGTTACCTTGATTTAAAACAACTTTAACCACATCAGCCATGGAAATGAGGAAAAAAAAACCATAGCGTGAGAGCTGTTGCAGAATTCAGGCTTTTTAGCAGGTTTCTGGTCCGGCCTGATGGAACTGATTTTGGGGACCAAAATGTTTCATTTTGATATTTGCTAATCATATAAAACTACACACTTGAATTTACCATATAGTTAACTCAGGAGAGCTCTCGTGGTCACAATGCTACAGGGAGGAAGAACGTGTTGTGAATGGGCAAAGACACTCGTCTGGATATGGGAAGAGAGAGGGGAGGGGCGCTTGGGACTCGAAAGGGAAGAGTGGTGAAAGTGGAATCTCCAAAGGAAACAATTTTTAGTTATCACCGAAACCATTTTATACAGTAAAGCCCTGTTAGAACACAGTTGTCCAGAGTCTATAACATCCCAACCAGCACTATAACAGGGCATTGGTCAACACTTCATATTCATACCATACATACACTTAGGCCACTTCGCTTCAAAATGCCAAAATATTTTGTGGCCCATCAGGTTACTGCCGATCTTTTGAAGCAATCTGGTTGGCGTGTTGTGCAAACTTCAGTTGTCATTTGGTAAGTGAATGTTGGAATCCATTCTGCAAAGAACCAACATTTTAATGAGATTCCATAGTATTTTGCAGGAAACACATTGTCCACCTTGTTTGCTTCATGCAAAGGGGTCCTTTTCAGTTACAGCGAATGATCAGCTCTCTACTACATGACAAGTCTCTGTTAATAGCTACTGTCAATTCACTTGCAAGCATCATGCTTTGCTTTTTACTGGAATAATATAATCCTTACATTTGATCAGGAGGATGTCACGGAATTTCCTGTAAAATGATTGTGTACTTCGTACGTAAACAAAGTGGTCAATTTCCACACAGCAAAGTCCCACAAGCAACAAGAATGACTAATTTTCACTAGCTGTTTGTTGACCAGGACACTGGGAGAGATTCAACTGTTGAGATATAGTTCATCTCTCTCTCTGCCTTTTCATAGTTTACTCCATTTTGATGCTTTAATGAAATTTAGGGTTGTTGTGGCTTAATAATGTTAATATTAACGTGACATCCAGGTGGAGTCTTGTCTGATATTTTTTCAGTGGCCCCTTTCTTGAGGCAAAGTGCTGGGAATCATAATTCACTTTTCTTATTCCTATGAGGCACTTTACCTTTTTGTCTGTTTCGCTAGTGAGATCAATTGGTTGATTAACAAATGTTTTGATCTTTGGTGTGCTAAATTGACATTTGAATTTGAAAGCTTAGGATCAGGAGGCTGTTGTGCTTCATAATATTTGGAAAAGATTGGGGTTGGGGTTGGGAGGAGAGAAAAACAGAAATGAAAAAAAACAAAAGAGAATATTTAAATACAGATTTTTTTCTTTATAATAGCAGGTGTAAAATAAGTACTTCCTTTAAATTACTGGGGTGTGACCTCATGCTAACCAGGTTCAAGAGGTGTAACTATCTTTACAGTAGAAGACAGAACCACAACCAAGTGTCAGCCTGCTGATCCATCTGATTAAGCTACTCTGTTGAGGGATTTAACGCAGTTGCTCAGGAATCAAATAAGTGAGGCTTTACAAATGGTAAATCTTTATTCTACTTGTAAATTTCTAAAGCTCAGGGTAAGGGAAACATGTCCTGAATTACCCTAACAAAAAACTGCTGTTCATAAATCTCTGTATGGGTGGGGTGGGGGGTTCATCATTGAGCTTGGTTGGGTTGCTGAGAAAATCTCTTGTGCACAGTATATAGTCATTTGATGCATACATACTGTTAGAAATAATGTAAAGGCAAATGATGCTGACAACCCCGTACTGTGTATGTAATTGCAGTTCTGATCGGCTAGCCTGGGTTTCTATGGTTACGAACAGCAGAAGAACGTTGATAACACACTTAATGATGCTTCATGATTACTCAATTGCATCTCTTTTCTTTCTCCGCATCTCTCTCCCACCCCCCCCCCCCTCCGTGATAATTATTCTGTAGCCGAGGCTGGCCCCTGATATTTCATGTAATCGGGTTATGCTATCATAGTAAATCTATTCTGAGAAATTGAGCAGTATGTAAAATAATAAATATTAATTTTATATGAATTCAAGAACAATTGGCTTTTTTAGTTTTAGTGATAAGTTTGCTAACTGTGTGTAATCTGTGTTTTCTGTGTGGAGATGGGGTGAAGTAACCGTTATCTGTGTTCTCTTACAGTATTCATTATGCAACGAGCCCTTGATTGAACTTTCCAACCCGGGGGCCAGTGGTTCAGTCTTTTATTTAACCAGCGACGATGAGTTTATCATAAAGACCGTCATAAATAAAGAAGCAGAGTTTCTGCAAAAATTGCTTCCAGGCTATTATATGGTAAATGAAAGAAAACCTTGTGTCTAATATATTCACTGCCTATAAAAGGTGCCTGTGCTTCTTTCACACTTTATCTTCTGTTTTTGCGAGGACTGCCACTTAGAATACATCATTTGGGTCAGTGTAGTCACTGCCATGGTTTTGGTTTCTGCCCTCCCACCCCTCCAGTACCTCAACCAAGAAGCAGCTCTTCATGGATGTTCATGACAGTAAGTGCATCCAGTGAGTTGCTGTAAAACATTGAACTTTGGCCGAGAGGATGTCCTCTCTCAAAGTTCATGTGTTTTATAGCAGGTCACTGGATGCATAGTGATCTCTGTCACTCTTGCTAAGCTAATTGTATTGCACCAACCCCCCCTCCCGATTACAGTTGAGGTGAGGGAAGATGGCCTAATCATCCGGGTTCTCCGGTTTTATCTCCTCATTCAGCCGTGACTTGCCAATGTGATTGGGTTTTGACGAACGTAAACTTTAAACAGCCATACATTTTTATACGATTTGTTCTGTTGGATCTGAATCAGTTAATTTGTTCTGTGTTAAACAGCAGCTGAAATTAATTTCAATGAAATCCACCTGAGGAATTTTCAATGAGATCGCTTGGGTGAGAGACTGCAGAGAAACGCAGCTGCGATATCTCCGGTTCCAGGCATAGGATGTTTCATTCCTTAATTCTAAATACAGCATCATTTGGTATTCAGGTTCTTTTTGGCCTCTGAAAGACTTGTTTGCTGCAAAATTGCAACGATTGCTGAAAGATGGGAGTAGAATATCTTCAGATGTAAATGCTGACAAATTGTAACCACTGATTTGCATTTAGGTTTGCAGTCAATTTATTCCAGTGCCACTCAACAGTGAACCTATTATGGCTCAGGCCATTGCCATGTTGGAGTGAAAGCGCACATTGTGCAAGGAGGCTGTGGGGGGAGAGAAGGATGACAGATTTAACCATTTGATTGCTGGCATTTGGTTGTGATCCAGATACTGTAGTTGTGTTTGAAGAAGGTGAAATGTCTGAAAGAATTTGATTTCCAACTCCTAATTGTTCAGCACACTGCTTAGAACTGAGTACGCAGTGTTTTACTTTGTAAAATCTACTGGGAGGATATTGGATCGTATTTTGTTTTCACAAATAGAGTTGGTGTAAAACCAATTTGTATGGTTGTAAAATAAAGTGAAAGCAGGAATGCAGTAATCGACTTCATCTTAGACTTGATGGACTGAATGGCATCCTTGTAAACTGTAATTTATGTAATTCTATTAGCCCCTGAACTATGGATTGAAAATCTGCCACGTTTTCTCTGTTTCTCTGTTTCTTCCCCCCCCCACCCCGGTCAGAATAGACTGTTGACACTCACTGTCAGCTGAAACAGTAAGAATTGCACTGGAGCCACATGTCGGCATGAGAGGAGAGAAAATAAGGGGGAAAGGTTCTAACCATTTGCACATTGTTACACTGCTAAATTGAAATTTTTTTTTCTCTCTCTCATCAGAATTTGAACCAGAACCCAAGGACGCTCTTACCAAAGTTTTATGGGCTGTACTGTGTGCAGTCTGGGGGCAAGAACATCCGAGTGGCGGTGATGAACAATGTGTTGCCGCGAGTGGTTAAGATGCATATGAAGTACGACTTAAAAGGTTCGACCTATAAACGAAGGGCCTCGAGAAAAGAGCGTGAGAAAAAGAGGCCTACGTTTAAAGACCTGGACTTCATGTTAGATTTCTCAGACGGGCTGATGTTGGACGTGGACATGTACAGTGCTCTTGTCAAAACCCTGCAGAGGGATTGTCTGGTGAGATGATGGTTGGGATTTAACCCTGTTTGAGATGAAGCTTGGTTTAATACACTCAGATTTCTGAATGAGCGCAGGCAAACAGCTGTCAGCAGTGAGGAACTGAAATGAGGGAGTCCATGATTTGTTTTAAACGAGTATTTTGGATTATGGTCTTTGAATGTTAGGATTTATTTAATGTTTTAACCTTGTTCATTTGCACAGCCAGGTGTCCGACACATGTGAAAACCCATTATCATGCTTGAACCAATCAGAGTTCCACCTGCACATGGAAATTTCCTTGTGGAAATGGAATCTGCACTCTCTCCCTGGAGGGGGATATACCCTGATCAGCTAATTCCGGAGAGTATGAGGTGCAAGTTCACAAGAGCCAAGGTTTGGGGACCCTGGGGTTTGTTTTGGGGTAACAGTTGAAGTCTTAACCAGCTAAAACCATATTGAGAATACTGTCTGGCAAGCTTCCCGCTGATTGTCCAGTTTAGTAGGGTTAGCAGGAGGTGAGTGAGAAGAATCGCAGTCTGCCCTTCCAAATCCTGTTGATGAACCTGCAGACCCATTGGGCTCAGGAAGTGGACTGCTGAAATTGCCGCAGGGAATTGACTCTTGCAACATGTCATCTTGCAGCCAGTTCAGCTCCAAAGAGACCCTGCTTACCTCCTCCCATCCCTCCACTCCCCGGGGAGGATTTTGAACTTCAGTTTGTTTTGTGTGCGTGACTGATGTGGTATTCGTACTCTGCTCACCAGGTGCTGGAAAGCTTTAAGATTATGGACTACAGTCTGTTGCTAGGAGTTCACAACCTGGACCAAGCCAGCCGCGAGAGACAAGCCGAGGGATCACAAAGCCCTTCCGATGAGAAGCGGCCCATTGCGCAGAAGGCTCTTTATTCCACCGCCATGGAGTCCATTCAGGGTGGGGCTTCCCGGGGCGAGTCTATTGACACCGATGACACGTATGTAGAATGTGCTAAACGTTTTGTTTGGTTAATCTCAGGCATTAATAATAATAATAATAATAATAATAATCCTTGCATTTGATATAGCGCTTTTCACGTCGGGAGGACGTCCCAAAGCGCTTCACAGAACACACTGTAAAGTGAATTGACTGTATATTTGTGGGCGAACGCGGCAGCCAATTGCGCACAGCAATGTCCCACAAACAGTCGTAGATTGAAAATGACCCAATTTTTTTTTATTATTGTTTTTTGGTTTTTTTGGAGGGATTATTATTATCTTGTTGATACTCGTCAACAAGGTGATGTCTCACCACTGTAATCATAGACAGACTGCAGACATGGTTGGGAAGAGAGACTGCATTGCTTGAAGTGTAGTAAAAACTAGACGTAACTCCCTGGTTATCTAATCTGCTCAGTGTATAAATGGACATGTATATAATCCACTTCCTCAGGTCCAGATACCTGGCCCATTCAGGTTTCCCATGAGGTCAGTCGTAATCATTGTTAAATGCGCTGAAGCTAATGGAAAGGCCTAATAAAGCTCTTGTTGCTTTTGGCCAATGTTATGAAGTTGCTGACTCTCGCTGGGGTAGCAACCTACTCCAGTACCTGTACCTTGTGGAGTCCTGTAGCTCAGTGGTTAGAGCACTCGCTTTGTAAGTGAGAGACCTGAGTTCAATTTCAGGCAGAGGGCGAAACCTTGGGCAAGTTTCTTTACTCCACACAGAGCCTAATAATAATCCTCCAAAACCAAAAACAATAATAAATTGGTCATTTTCAATCTACGACTGTTTGTGGGACATTGCTGTGTGCAATTGGCTGCCGCGTTCGCCCACAAATATACAGTCAATTCACTTTACAGTGTGTTCTGTGAAGCGCTTTGGGACGTCCTCCCGACGTGAAAAGCGCTACATCAAATGCAAGGATTATTATTATTATATTACCTTGCTGACATTGCCACAATTTATGAGGAAGCTTGAGTGAAAGCTGAAGAGGATGACAAAGCCTGGTCAGGGATCAATCTTGAGACGGGCCTTGAAGGAGGCAAGGGAGGGGGGAAACGAGGCAGAGGCTCTGTGAAATGGAATTCCAAAGGGTGGGGGCAGAAAGGCTGAAGACCCGATCGTTGTATATCGATGGTGGGGTGGGTAGGATGGGGCACATGAAGCAGGCAAGGGAAGTCTTGCTCGTGCTGAGGCTTTGCTCTGATCTGTTGTTGAACGTTACCTAAACACAGGAGATTCTAAAACATGTTCTTTCCTGTTCCCCTTGCTCCAGGATGGGAGGAATTCCAGCCATAAATGGCAAAGGAGAGCGGCTGCTTTTGTACATTGGCATTATTGACATTTTACAGTCTTACAGGTAGACTTCGCTGCTTGTCTCATCTTGTCGCTTTAATCGCACTAAAATATTTTGTTTCGAATATCTAACTAACAGTCACCTCCTTTGCACGTTCCATCTTTAACTTGGATCTCGGAGGGGAATAATTTTATCCGCACTTTTAGGCATTCCAGTTTATTTTGCTGTTCATGTAATTTCCTATTGAATATATACCTTTACTGCAGTAAACAGTCGGCTGCTTGGCAATCTTTTCAGCATAGAATGCAGCCCAAATCCAAGCACACTTGATTGACATACTTGCAGGACACTGACCACCTTTAATGTTGATGACTGTTGAGCTGTTTATTACAGAAAATGGAAGCATCAGCCTTTTAAACAATGCTCAAAGGATATTTTGGGGGTTTTGTGGCATAGTTAATACTAAACTAATTAACATTAAGCTTTTATAAAGCTTACAATCTTATCTATGTTTGCTTTTCCAGGCTGATAAAGAAACTGGAACACACCTGGAAAGCACTTGTCCACGATGGTGTAAGTTTTCATTTTAAAATTGTTTGAAAATATTCATTACTTTTTTAGAAAGGCTTCATGATCATTGCAATAGATTTCCTTCTGAATTATCTTTAAATAATAATAATGCTTGTATTTGATATAACACCTTGTCACATCATCAAAATGTCTCGAAGGGCTTTACAGGAATTTTAATGTGAACGGCATTCAATGTGTATTTGTGGATTCAATGCATGTTTGTGCATGCAATTCAATTTGTACAAGACATTTACATTCCATACTATTGCTGTGGTGGGTAGTCATCTTGAACTGAAGTTGGCATATGAAGTGTCAGGATAGGGAGGCAGTGATCATATTCCCATTCATTGAACTCTGCCCCTTCAGTACTTGCCACTAAATGTTCCTTTTGTGATTACTGGGGAAGATGACTCTTTTTGTGGTCATGTGGATGTTGTATGACTGATACGCACAGCTGCTTTTCGAAGTTGGATCCAGTTGCATGACTTAGTGGAGTCCTGAAGCGAGAGACCTTGATTTGATTTCCCGGGAGGGTGAAAAGTTGGGCACGTTTTCTTACTCCACAAGCCTCTGTTTGCCTAGCAGTAAGTAGGAACCCAGTGGTTAGTCGATTGGCGGATCGTTTTTCCAGGGGTAATAATCCCTTAAAAAATAATAAATTGGTCACTCAATCCATAACTGTTTGTGGGGACGCTGCTGTGCGCAATTGGCTGCCACGTTTCGCCTACAAAATAAACAGTCAATTCACTTTACAGTATATTCTGTGATGCACTTTGAGACGTCTCGAAGACATGACACGGCACTATATTAATAACAACAAAATTCTATTTACACAGCGCCTTTCGCGTCAGGAGGACGTCCCAAGGCGCTGGACAGTTCAGTGTTTCGGACCCGATCTGGGGGTCGGGATTGGGGAGGGTTGAGAGCAGGGGGAAGCAGGATGATCAAAAGATCGAAGAGGAGAGTCTTGAGTTGGGTCTTGAAGGAGGCATGGGAGGAGGCGAGGTGGAGGGACTGCGGGGTGGAGTTCCAGTGGGTGGGGGCAGAATGGTGGGGTGTGGGCGATATGAAGCAAGCCAGAGCGCATTGAGTGGAGGGAGCGTGCAGGATGGTAGGGGTTTAGGAGGTCGCAGAGGGACAGTTTTTAAAGGTGTGGGAATGGTACCAGTGGACAGGGAGAGGTTTATGATGTCTGTGGGTAGAGGGGCAAGGAGATGGAGCTGGGAGTTGATGAGTGGGGTAGGGATGGGGTCGAGGGAGCAGGTGGTCGGTTTCATGCAGGTTATAGTGGTGGTGAGAGACGAGTGGGAGACAGGTTCGAAGATGCTTTGGGACGTCCTCCTGATGTGAAAGGCACTCTATAAATATAATTTTGTTGTTGTTGTGATGGGGAAGGATGGGTAGGGGCCGGATGTCAGGGGGAGTTGGGAACAGGATAGTTTATGGAAGGGCAGAGGCAGCTGAGCGGATCCCCTCGACTTTGGATTCAAGAAGTCCAGTATCGCTTCACAGTTGGCATTGGAGGTGAGGATGGCTGAGGCGTGAGAGGGTGGGCGGAGGAGCCGGTTCGTGATGGAGAAGATGAGCCTGGGGTTGTCCTTGGCCTCCAAGATTGTCTTGGAGTAGAACGATAATTTAGTTGAGGCGAGGACGGAGCAGTAATATTTGATCCTTGCACCAAATGCAAGGATTATTGTTGTTATTAATTTGCTATGTTTTTCCAGGATACTGTGTCAGTGCACCGGCCAAACTTCTATGCAGACAGATTTTTTAAATTTATGAGCAACGTTGTCTTCAGAAAATCTTCATGTAAGTAACCTAAACACGTCAATATACTTCACCCGAAAAACACAAACGAATAAACTTGTGAAGCTACAGTCAGTACTTGCCAATCAGTTCCCAAAGAGCTGAATTTCAAATGGCAAATACAGTTGCATAGTAACATAGAACCATAGAAATTTACAGCACAGAAGCAAGCCATTTGGCCCATTTTGTCTGCTGGCTTCTTTAAAAGCAATCCATTCAATCCAATTTGCTTGCTATTTCCTCATACCTCTGTAATTATTTAAAAGGCCATATAGATTCTGCCTCAGCCATGGCTCCCAGCAGGGCATTCCCTATCCTAACCACTCTGCCTGAAAAAAATTCTTCTAACTTTCCCATTTGCTCATTTGCTAACTATTTTAAATTGATGCCCTCCAGTCACTGACTCACTGAGTAGTGGAAATAATTTCTCCCCTATTGAGTCTAAAAGATATAATCTCATATTTGTCTGCATTCAATTTATTTGCCATTTCTCCTTTCAATAAACTAATCAGTCTATGTGGCCCTGAAGTTGCTTACAATAGTCATTTGTGTCATCAGCAGTTTCTCTTCTGTACAACGCTACTTAGTTTGACTTTGTACAGTTCCGAGTTGTACCTTTAATCATTCTGCCTCTATAGGGCCTGGAGTCAGAACATCCTGTTTTGCTGTAAGATGTTCTCTGAATCAAACCAATAGGGCATACAAATCTGAAATATTTAAATTATCAAACTCATTTTAACCAACAATTAAGAATCATTATTTCAGTTGCAGGTTAAATGTACATGGGGAATAGTTTCATTTCATGAAGCCTTTAACCTTGAAGGTTTGTACATTTACTTAAAAAGCCAAAGGTCTAGGATTGGGAAACCTTTTAAAGGCCACTAGTTAAGTGCTTACAAAATGATTGAATTCCATCGCAACAGCTCTGAAGTCATCTCCTTCCAAAAAAGGCCGTTCCACCTTGATGGTTCCTCAGTACACTGGTCCTGGACAAGCCTTCTCAGCCAGTCAGATTCCTATGGAAGGAGATGAGAAGAGGTATGACCTGCGGGGCGCCAGGAGTTTCCCTACGCTCGAGGATGAAGGTAATTCCTTTCCCGTTTTATGCTGTGGCTGTCAATCCCCTGTGACCAGTGCACAGTTTTCACCCGCACTCTCCCAAGTTGTGCCTTAGGCACAAAGGCAGAGAATCTGGAATTGATGAGCTTATTTTGTTAGTTTATTGCCCTACAACTCATACTTATCCAACCAGTACCAACAATGCCATCACATTTTTCCCTGTGGGAAGTCAAACCTGTAATGGTTAAAGTGGGTTCAATACTTACTTGGAATTTAGAAACACACTTTGAAATTATTCTGTGTGCCTTTATGATTCTCTTTGTTCTCTGATTTAATCAGCCTTGCAGATGTGTTGCGTTCTGTAGGTGATCTTCGCTTGCAGGGTGATTTTGATCCCAGTACTTGCGCAGTTGTGGTTGCTCTTCTAGTCATCCAGTGAAGCAGGCGTATTATTGATGACTTTCAGGCATCGGAAATTATTTTTTTTAAAAATCTCTAAACGTTTGACTGTTCGCCTTTCTTGATGGCTTCCCTTTTTTTAAAACAACAACAACAAGATTCCATTTATAAAGCGCCTTTCACGTCAGGAGGACGTCCCAAGGCGCTGCACAGTTGGGTCATGACCCGAGCAGGGGGGAAATGGTCAGGGTGAGGGGAGGGAAGGGAGGGAGCGAGGAGGGGGGAAATGGTCAGGGTGAGGGGAGGGAAGAGAGGGAGCGAGGGGGGAAATGGTCAGGGTGAGGGGAGGGAAGGGAGGGAGCGAGGAGGGGGAAGAGAGTCGAGAGGGGAGCTGAAGGCTCGGTCAAAAAAAAGTCAAAAAAAAAAATTTTAGTGACCACTTATTTTTTTCTCATCTTCTTCCCACTGACCTCTCTGGCCCTGGTCCCTGGTTTGACCTCTTCCTGCCAGATGCAGTTCTATGGGTCCTGGTTGCCCTCGGATTCTACGACCATTCATGTGTGAGCCTGAGCAGTGAGTTTCAGCAGGCCTCTTGACAGTAGAAGCAGTACAACCTAGTGCCTGAACACTCCTCGTCTGCCTGGCACAGGTGCGCAACCGGTAGAGGGTGCTGTAGAGGAACCAGAAGTAGGAAGACTATCTGGTTTTATCCTCCCTAAACTGGGGAAGGTCAGATCCACTTGAGCCTCCTCATTCAACCGGAACTGATATCAGCAAACTCAGCACCGACGGGTATTGACTTCACACGAGCGAGCTGCTAGGCTTTAAGCTGCAACTTATCTACGACACCATTGAGGCTGCTCCTAAAAGGTTCCTTTTCAAAAACTACATTCACTTTTTTTTCTTTCTAAGGTCTAATGGGTCGACCAGATCTACTACCCTCTACCCCACCCTCCTTTGAAGAAGCAACTACAGCTTCGATAGCTACAACCCTATCCTCAACATCATTGTCAATAGCTGAACGATCACCATCAGATTCCATTGAACATCACCCCCGCTACAGGTATGACTCTTGTTGCTCCAAAGAGCAGACAGACCCTGACATTTAAACTACTGGAATATTAAGATGGGGGATATATAGAAACAATTTTCAACCAAACATTTTCAGTGTATTAAAGAAAGAGATGAATCTTTTGATTGCCCAACTTGCTATAGAAGGAAAGGACAATAGAATAGAAGGAAATATGGATAACTTAGATTGTATTATGGTCAACAAGTCCCGGGTCGCAAACTGAGCTTATGATACTGTACTTAGAGGATGGTTAACATGTGGGATAGTTTGCTCAGAGAGGTGGATAGTGTGGGCAGTTTCAAAAACAAACTGGATGAATGTTGAATTATGAAGAGAACTGGGGGGGAGCTGTAGGTGTAAAGGATAATGTTTGAAAATGAGAATAATTGAACAGACTGCAGTGCTTCTTTTGGCTTGCATGTTTTTTGTCAACTCTTGCTGACAGAAAAATCAGCATGTTGCCATATGTAAATTCTAGTCAAGTGACAACTATCATCAGATTTGCTAAACCCAGCTGCCAGGCTTGTAAATAATTCCCATTATGATTCAGTTTTCAAATCTGTGAAGGCAGGGTCGCTTACACTCATTTATGTACATGTCTCTGATCATTATTGTCATTGAAAATCCTCGATTTTCAGTATCTCTGAAGCATGTGACGTGTTCTCTCAACGCATCTGGTTTAAACACGGACATTTCAATAACATTCTGACTGAATCAAAGACTGCGTTTGCCTTGGGTTCCAGATCATTTTTTTCAGTCCCTACATTTTATGTGAAGGACTCTTATGTCAAATGTTGGAATTGTTATTACTTTATGTTATTTCCCCCCCCCCACCCCCCTTAACAAGTGCAGGTTTGAGCTTTTACCAGATAAATAGCAAATACAAGGCTCTCCCTGTGAGCTTTCTTGTGTGTAACAGTTGAATGAAGGAGATTCAGCGGTTGTCACATGTGCAGCTTCTCTCAAAGCAACTTTTCCAAATTTGGTTTTCTGTGAGTGAACCTTAGAAAATTCTATATTTTTGAGCCGAGCAATTGAAATGTGCCTGAAAAAATTGGTCCTGACTTTCTATCTAATTTAAGCATTAAATTTTGTTTTTTTAAAAAATACTCTAGGAGAAACTAAACGTTTGATTTTAATGATGCATCTTTCATCCCTTTAGACGGCCTATGGTTTCCTCATTATTTGATGCAAGGTAAGCATTAACCTTACTTGGTTTCCTCTTCATTTAGACTTGGTACATTATTTATATTTCCACCCCCCCCCCCAGTTGTAAGGGATGTTAGTGCTGATAAATGGGACGCTGGGTTAAGTATCGTCAGGTTAACTAGATGGGTTTGGCAAAAAATATTAACTTCACTGTATTCTGGGAAGAATTGCCTGCTTTCTTTGTACTAAGCCAGCGTTACTCTTGTGACTAATCTTACTGATCAAACTAACTTCCCCCAAATCTTCTACATTGGATGAAGTGTTGAATGTTCTCTATCAGGCGCAGCTGTCTAACGATTGCTTCCTGCGCTTTCAAAACTTGTGACATTTATTTTGCAACTCAAGTGGAACGGAAAGAGGCAGGAAATAGAACCATTATATCTAGCTTTCCACATGTTTGTGTAACTGTTCTACACTATAGAGGCTGATTTGAGTGCCAAATTGTACACTGCATACTAATTTGTTCAGGCAACACTTGCAATGCCAGCTGTGTCAGCTTGGCTCAGTCGATAGCTCTCTCACCTCTAAGTCAGAAGGTTGTGGGTTCAAACCGGGACTTTGAATTCACAGTCTGGGCTACTGTTCCAGTGCAGAGTGGAGTATTTGTTGCCTTGTGGAGGTGCTGTCGTTCGGATGCGAGTCTGTTAGGGTGCACATTAAAGATCCCAGAATACTATTTGAGTTTCTCTCGATGTCCTGGCAAACAATCCCCACAACATATACAATGTGTCCTGGGAAGCCTTTGAGATCTCCTGGACCAAATGCAAGGATTATTGTTATAATACTATTACAGAGATTTTAACTTTTAAAAAGCATTGCAAATCTTCACTGTTGAGGAACAATCTTTTTAGAATAGCCAAACGTGCTTGAAAATGGAGAATAGCCTCTTGAGTGAGTGCTGCTGTTGCCTGTTTCTTTTCTGTGGATACAGACTTTGCCGACACGCACTTAGGTCTTGAATTTAATTTTGAATGGGTTTTTTAAAATAATTGGGAGAAAACTTATTTATTGCTTGACTGCAGATAAAACTGCACCCTACCCAAGCTAACCAGTGGTCAAGCTTCCGACACTCAGCTCCAGGAATCCAGGCTCAATTATGGGATTAACCATCACTGGCTAAAGCAAGGTTTCAGTGCACCTGCTGGGCAGTGGGAAAACTCTCTGTCCCTGGAGCAACTCCTGAGGAGAAATTCCTGTGGCTTTCCTTGTTGCACTGGTTCACTGCCTTAGCGTTTTTTTCAAAGCGTAATTTTTGACCCATCAAGTTCTTATTACATTATAATCTCACAACAATAAGGGTGATATTCATGTATTCCGGTCTTTTGACTTTGTAATATACTTACAAACGAACAAAATAATATAATAATAATCCTTGCATTTTGATATAGAGCCTTATCAAGTCTTTGCGACGTCTCATAGTGCTTCACAGAATATACTGTAAAGTGAATTTCTTGTATATCTTGTTGGTGAAAATATATATATTACAAAAATTTTAGTCTCTAGACGTGGTAGCTTGAATTACATGATTTAATTAAATTCCCCAACTGAATATTGCCACTCCAACTTCATCAAACTAGGGTTTGATTTGGTAATTTTATCATCAGCACTGCTACTTTGCATGGATTGTAACGCGTGAAAAAAACTACCAGAACCTGCAAGTAGTAATAATAATCCTTGCATTTGATATAGCACCTTACACGTAATTGAGTCTCAAAGTGTTTCATACAATAGACTGTAAAGTGGATTGACTGTGTATTTTGTGGGCAGAATCCAGTAGTCATTTGCACACAGCAATGTCCCACAAACAGCCGTAGAGTGAGAGACCAATTTTAGTTGGGGATTGTTGGCCAGGACACCGGGGGAGAGAAACCTCTTTCTCTTTTCGAGTAGTGCCGTGGGACTTTTAACATCCAACTGTACAGGCAGATACGATCTTGATTTGATGTCTCACCTGAAGGACGGCACCTCCAATAATGCAACTTCCAACCCCCCCCCCACCACCCCCATTACTGGAGTGTCAGCTTGGACTATGTGATTCCAAGTCCCAACATGGGGCTTGAACCTACAACTTTCTAACTCAAAGGCGAAAGCGCTACCACTCAGGCTGACCAGGCTGACACACACAGGTAAGAAGGTGGGTGTTCCACAAACAATTTGAATTCTGTCGCAGCAAATTGACTGAATAGCTCTCCTGTGAGTGAGTGCTTAGTCTTATCCTAACCATTGAAAGGGACGGGGAGGAAAGGGGGAAACAAAGAGGCAAGTGGGTAACGGAGAGGCATCCCTCCTGCCCCCCACCACAAAAAATTTCAGTTTCAATTTGTGGATTTAAAAATAACAACTTTAAAAGTCTTTAATCAAACTCGTGAGTCTATCAGTCTCTTCTGAGAACTGGTGTAACTTGATTGCTGGAATAGCTATAGGTTGTTCAATCAATGCAGGACAGTATTAATCAACTGTACCCTTTAAAAGTTAAGGTATTTTCCCATTGGTACAATCTAGTGTTACTTTAACAATCTAACAATTGCATTCAACGTTTTTTCCAGTGTTCGGTCATTTGATGAGACGAGAGTGGAAGATGATCTTCAGCAAATCGCAGTTGAGCTGGAAAAGACAAGCATCGAATCTGAAGCAGTAGAAGAGCCCAAGTAAATCTTTATCATATATCTGCATTCGTACTGCATGTTTTGTGTCAGGTGGTAGCACTCTTGCCTCTTGAGTTAGAAGGTTGTGGATTCAAGCCCTACATTGGGACTTTGATCTCAGTCGAGGCTGCCAAAAGAAACTCCCTTCTCTTTTTGAATAACGCCAATGGATCTTTAATGTCCACCTGAACAGGAAGACGGGACCTCGGTTTAACATCTCAGCTGAAGAACAGAACCTCAACCAATGTGAAACTGCATTGGAATGTCAGCCTTGACTGAGTTCAAAGTCTTGATGTGGCGAGAATGTTACCAGTAGAGCCAGCCAGACACCCAGGGAACCTCTGTATATGGCAGTGATCTTGAGACCAGTTACATATTATGGTTGAGTTGAGGATTAAAAGCTTCATTGATCTTATTTAAACCCCAGCACTGTTCCATGTGTTTTCATTATACACCCATAATATGGTGAGCATGAAACCTTATGTAATGGGCTTAACCTACTTACGAAAACATTCTTTTCGAGTTAAAATAACGTTTGGCCAAATAACAGTGCGAGCGGCTAATGGTGATTTCAGAACTTGCAATTCAAAAAGCCTATGTTGAATGGTGTCTCAGCTGTTTCTGTAGCAATGCTTTTTCTCTTCAGTAATTTGTTAAATACAACACAAAAGTGCAATCAAATTGGAAAGCTGCAGAATAGGAGATTCTGCGGGCTACAACGTCATATGTGCCATCTGTATCGGTCAGGGCATATCTGAAGGGTTTTGTTAGACTAATTAGCTCTTTGGTCAGCGGATCTGAAAGCACAGATCCAGGTTTTGTTGTGGAGGCCCCAGGTTTTGTGGCTCAGTTCACCATCTGCCTATTGCAGATCCTGCTTTGCACCTGCCAGCTTACTCATTTGTATCCCGTTCACTTCAGTGCAGTTAACAGAATTTAATTTATTGAAAGAGATGACTGGGTTCAGCAACACGATGGGGGCTGGGGAGAGAGAATGGTAAACCTGGCTCTGCCCCTAAATATTCTGTTTTATTTACATACACACACATATATATATAGAGAGAGAGAGTGATCAAGCTTTGACAAGATTTCTGTATTATTGCTAGCAGAAGTGCGAAATCGCAGTGATCTCTATTCTGCTAGTTAGATGAATATAGTAGTAGATTTTCTTTGACTGGAACATTAATGCAGAATAGATGTCTCTTGAATCATTCGTGCTGCTGAGTCTGCATGTTGATTACATGTTGATTCTGTGTATTACATGTTGATTCTTTTCAGCTCTGCTCAGTTTGGTAAAACTCTTGCCTCCGGATCGGAAGGTTGTGGATTCAAGTCCCACATGAGTGCATGCAGTTTAGGCTGAATTTTTGCGATGAAACGATAAACCAAGGTCCCGTCTGCCTGTTTAAGTGGACTGTTTGCAGCACTATTAAAAAAGAGAAGGGAGTTTCTCACAGTATCCTGACAAACAATTCTCACGGAAATTTGTTTAGTGTTAGGAGTTGCCTATATTGACTCACCATCTCTAACTCATAATTCTTTTATTTTTAGGGAAGTTCCTTCAGCAACTGCAACTGAGAGTTCAGTGGTGACATTGGAAGCAGACACTGTGAGCCAGGTCTCTGAGGTAGCCAGCCAGGCCTCGGGAGAGGATGAGGAGGATGTCCCAGTGACTGATATATACTTTGTAAGTATCACCAGCCTGCATCTTAGGGAGAACACTGACAGATGTCGACAACACAAAACCTAACATTAGAATATCTTTTACATGCACAAAAGTACACACAGTAGTGTGTTGTGTGGGGAACCAAATTGGAGGGAGGGAGTTAAAGAGCTTAGTTAGGCAGTAAATGACCAAAGTCTTGCTCTGTGTGTGGGCGAGCATGTGTTCTTCACTGCAGACAGTGTGGCTTGTGAGACGCTTCCAACTTGATTTTGTCACTTGAACCGTAATGTTCTGACCTAATTTGTACTCTACTTCCTTGCTTGTTCTCCCCTCCCTCTGACGGTGCTAACTTGTGCTCAGTTCCAGTCCTACAGCCTCTGATGGCTCCATACTGCAGCAGGTGTTGCTAGGTCCTGCACAGCTCTTTATAGCAGACAAACTGCCTCAAAACCTGCCTCAAAATATACAGTGAAAATTGGGTTCATAGAAAATGTTTATTTTAGAAATGGCAAGATATAGTTTTTGAGATCCTCAATTGCTTGCACCGTATTAAGCTTGAGCTTCACTGCTGCAAGAAGGGATTTTTACAGTTTTTTGTTCACAGAAGCTGAAGATGCTCTTGGCAAATTCACCCCAGCAGGATTTCTTGTTCATCTGCATATTGTTTCTGCACTTTATTGCTCCTGGCTGTTGATACTTTTGGAAATGTCCCGACATATCACCAGTGTGGAACACTTACAGCTGTTGGAAACACAAAACCTAACGTAGAATGTCTGTTACATGCACAAAAATACACGCAGGTGTGTGTGTGTATATGTGTGTGTGTATGTGTGAAACCAAATGGGAGGGAGGGAGGGAGTTAAAGAGCTTAATTAGGTAGTAAATGACCAAAGTCTTGCTCCTGTGCACATCTTGTGAGTATCTGATTAAACCTGGACTTTTTGTTGGAGGTACCTATTGAAGCTGACAGTTAAAAGGTGTTGTAAAAGAATAGATATTTTTGATATAGATAGAGAAACAATATAATGGGATTCCATTATAGGCCTCTTTGGATTTCTCTGATTACATTAGAACCCCTTTATAAGGCGCCCACCTTATAACGCTGGTTTGCTTCTAAGGCTGGCGCCCTGTGGTTCTGCTATTGGTTTCAGTGGCCTGGCCAACTTTCCTTGCGCTAAAAAATAGCTGGCATTAGGTTACTTCGTGCATGCTGCACATGCTAACTGTGCAGGAAGTGATGTGGCATCTTGATGATCTGGAAGTGGGACTTTTGTTTAGCCCAGGGAGTTATAATAATGATAATTCTTGCATTTGATATAGCACTTTTCACGTCTTCTAAACGTCTCAAAGCGCTTCACAGAATAGACTGTGAAGTGAATTGACTGTATATTTATGGGCAAAACGCTACAGCCAATTGCACACAGCAGTGTCCCACAAACAGTGGTGGATTGAAGTGACCAATTTTTATTANTTTTTTTCTTGAGGGATTATTATCTGGTGTGCGGAGTAAGGAAACTTGCCCAAAGTTTTGCCCTGTTGGGAATCAAACCCAGGTCTCTCGCTTGCTAGGCGAGTGCTCTTAACTATTGAGCTACAGGACTCCACGAATTCCTACACAAGAGGCCTTACAACTGGGTGGGATCATGTGCAATACGTAGGAAGCTGTGCAGGGGCATCCAGATAACCAGACGTTGGTCATTTTAACATGGGAAGCCAATCGGCTGTCTGCCTGCATGTGCAGAGCGCCAACTGGTGGCCAGTCTTAGTTGTGCCCAGCTGTAAGGTAAGTTGGAATTGTATGGATCCCAACTACTGCCTTGTAGGTCCTTCCACTCTTGTTCTTCTCTGGTGACATTACATAACGAAACAGTAATAGTCTGTAGGCAGAAATTGATTGCTATTAACATTATTCGCTTTGCTGCATTTTTCAATCTTAAATAGTGTTTATAATAATAACCCTTACGTTTGATATGGCGCTGTATCACGTTGTTGAGACATCTCAAAGCGCTTCGCAGAATATACTGTGAAGTGAATTGACTGTTTATTTTGTAGTATATTTATTGGTAAGTGTCCATCTTGTGTGGTGCTTGTGCTCTGGACGATTATTTCAGTTAATCAAGAGGAAGTGTCCAGGCTCATTTCACCAGCTGTAAGTGTAAAACTCTATAAACTGTGTGGGGACTGAGGAGAGAAAGGGTCAGTAACAAACTCCAAAGCCAGCGAGTGGCTCATTGTCTGCAGGATTGCTGGAGATTAATGGTGAGGTGGATTCTCACTCAGATCTGGATTCTATCTCCTGGCTGCAAGGTGATTTGGAGTTAACACAAGTGTGCTCAAATATTAGTATTACACAAAGATGGGGCAGGCTGGAGGCTGAGATCATAGGATTAAACTGCTTGACTTTTCAGTCAAATGAGCAACGTAACTTAAATGAGTTGTATTTATTTAGAACTTAGATTCAGAATTTAATTTTATAGACGTCGGGAAGCCCAGAAATGTAAGGATTATGCGGGCAGATGTTAACTCTGTATGTTGAAGCTTGTTAGGCAAAACCAACTTAGTTTTAAGGTGATGGTGGCAAGAGCGTTCAGCTTGCGTGAACAGAATAATTGTTCATATGTTATACCACAGCCCCCCGTAGTCTTAATATGACCGTTCAGTGAAAACGTGTGGAAGCTCTTACAACACACAAAGAGAAATGCTGCAAATCCCAAACTAGTTAATCGGCCTCTGAAAGAGAAAAGGCGGGTCAGCATTTCAGACAGGTCTGAAAGCTGAACATCCGGGCACCAGTGTGATAGAATGGTTCCGCTCTGATGGGTGTCATTGTTTTTGTTTATCCAGATACAGACCCCACATAAGCTGGTGGAGTTTTACAGTGCAAGTGAGTAAGGAAGGAAATGTTTTTAAAAAGAATAAAGATATTGCTAATTGTAAAAGTAACCACTAATTAGTTTGGACGGGTTATGTGAACAGTATACATCTGGCATGACTAATGAATGGCTAGCACATCTCCCCCTCTGCTCTGTTAAAAATATACCCAATTCACTAATGCAGCAACACCACGACCACAATAATAATAATAATCCTTGCATTTGTTATTACTCCTTATCAAGTCTTCAAGACGTCTCAAAGCGCTTCACTGGATATAATGTAAAGTGAATTGACTGTATATTTTGTGGGCAAAATGTGGCAACCAATTGACACGAGAGTCCCACAAACAGTTGTGGATTGAGTGACCAATTTATTATTCATTTATTTTTGTAAAGGAATTATTACCCCTGGAAAGGTGATCGCCGATCGACTAACAACCAGGTTCCTACTTACTGCTAGGTAAACAGAGGCGTGTGGACTAAGGAAACTTGCCCATGGTTTCACCCTGACCTGCTGAGGAATCAAACCCAGGTCTCTCACTTGTGAGGCGAGTGCTCTAACCACTGAGCTACAGGACTCCGCAATTTCTCAGCGCCCATCAAGTAGGGTAATGTCTCAGTGCAACTTACACTGACGGGGTTATAAACTGAAGAAAGAAGGGAAGGGGAAGGTGGCCATATGTGTGCAGCCTAGCTCAGTGATAGCATACTCGCCTCTGAATCAGAAGGTTCTGAGTTCAAACCTTAAGTTTTAAGATACGACAGAAAGACAGATAGAGAGTGGAGTGGGGAGTGGGTTGAGTCTAGGCCGAGCAATCGAGGGAGAGTTGCAGAAGTTCTGGACACTAGAATCTGAAGTTTGTCTGTCGAGTGTGTTACAGACCTTGCAACAACCTCAAGTTTTCTAAGCAGAGGAGCGGGATAGGGGAAGCTCAGAGTGCTGGCAAAGTGTTTGGGAGTGAGAGTGAGGAAATGTTCATCGGGTCAATGAGAGTGGAATCTACCTATCCATTCACTTCTAGATTTATTACAATGTGTGCATCACTGCTCCTGTCCATTATAAAGCTTCAGTAAACATCTATCCCCAATTGATGTTGACTGCTGCACTAATGCAGCCTGTTCTGGCATGGTTTTCACACATAATGGCTGTTTGCTTATCCAGCTGTTGCCAGGATACCCTTGCTGCCCAGTCACCTGCTCAGGACTGTTGTGATTCTGCATGTTTAAGCAATCTAAAGCTTCAAAGTTCTTTAAATATTAAATGTTTAGTAAATCTGTTAACCTTGGTACGGTAATAACATTTCCTGGAATTTTAATCTTGAACTGACGCTGCCCTTGAGGCCAAACTAGATTGAGTTGGGCTGCGTTTTTCTCTCTCTCTCTTTCTCTCTCTCTCTTGTTCTTCCTTCTCTCGTCTCCTCTTAATTAAGTGTGTGTTCCTAGATTTAAAAACATTTTATGTAAATTACAAAACTCGGTGCTGTAGCTTTTAACTAATCAGTTGGTAAACCGTGTCTCTGAGCCTGGCAATAACATTACTAATCCATTTGTTTGTGGGAGACTGACCGATCTGCGAAAACTATTGACTGCGTCCAGTTCTCTACTTTTTACTGCAATGTGCAAATTTTGCGATGTATTGAACCAGAAACAGAAGCGTTCTTTTTGAATATGGAAATGTATTTGTATGCAAACAGCAAGTCTGAGCTTGTTTAATGACTTTTTCAATCCTTTAGTAGGAATTCACAGCTGACGAACAAATATATGGGTAATCTTTTTCTACCATTGCAGATTTTCCTACTTCGTATGTGGCAGAATTTAGGAATTTGTCTTTACAAATGGCTTTCTCAGGTTTCCCACTTTTTGAGATCTTGTGCGGTTGTGGCATTGAGCATAAAAAGTGAGGCTACCCATTTGGTGTCTCCTGCCACTCACATTCCTTTGGTTGTTTCATAGGATAAGTGAGTGGTGCGAATGGACTACCCTCTGACTCTGTGCCTTTCCCTGACGACCTAGCAATTGGGAATTCAAGTACAGAGTTGCGCCCATGTTCGCTGTTCGCTGTTTTCCAGATGACTTTAAAGTTGGTGCATTAAACTAAAATATTGCAATCCTGTCAATTAAATGGAAAATAACAATACCTGCTCCAGG